ACAAAGATACAACAAAGATACAAGATACAACAAAGATACAACAAAGATACAAGATACAACAAAGATACAAAATACAACAAAGATACAACAAAGATACAAGATACAACAAAGCTTAACTTACCGTCTTCGAACGTCCGAGTACACTGCGTTTCACTGGGGGGTCCAATACCAGCCCCAGTATATCCAGAAACATTAAAACAATAAGTCGTCCATTTCTCCATGTCTTCCATCAATACATAATTCTTGACGGTCGCATTGACCGCAAAACTGCTGTTCACGTCCGATTTTTTCCAAACGTAAACGTAGTAGCCAAGAAGCTTTGCATAAATCTCAGTTGAGTTGGGTAACTTTGTCCAGTGTGCATAGAGTGCAGTGGAGCTTATGTTGGTCACAGTCACGTTCGGGCTGTTGGTTACTAGAGAAGAAAGGGAATATTGATAATACAGGAATACTTGGGGTTTTTATTATTTCATGATACACATCATAGGCCAGTTGAGTTAAACCTAGGTTAACCTAAAATCCAAATAAACTTCCCAACAACTTGTTTATAAATTTGAAAATATTTCTTCAGAGATCTTGTCTGAACCAGTAGGAGTTTTCTTCTCTGAAGTTTTGAAATAAACAGACGTGTAGAAATACATAAACTAAAACAGCAGGTTAAATTTTAACCCAGGGTTAGCGCTAACCCATCTTTGAACAACCGGCCCATATATATACAGTGCTTCTACTTCTGTGACCAGGTTTCGATTCTTGTGATATGCAATTATCTGTTAATAATTTCAGTTGTATGTGAGAAGAATGCTTCCAGTTTGTCTTTATCAATCATTACAGGTTTTGTCCAGCTGCTCCTCTCTTCTCCCCACCGAATTTATAAAGGATGGTCATTACCGGACCACTAACGAGAACAGTTCAGATTGAACTAATAGGGCTATTCAGTAGATATAAATGAAGTGAGTGTTAAAATACAAGTAATAATACATACCTGGCCCGTCCATTGTAACTGCAATAACGCTGTCACTGAGAAGGCCATCTCCACTGAGCGTGAATGCAAGGACACGTATGGTATAGTTCGTTAATGGTCGCAGCTCCGTAATCAAAAACTCCGTGTGGTTACCGTAGAAAACTTCTGCCTTGTATTTAGTGTAAGAAGATTTGTCTGTTTCACGGTAGAGCAGCTTGTAGCCTTGGAATATACCGTTGAGATAAAAAGAACTGACTTCTGTCCAGTTCACCAAGAGCGTGGTAGAGTTTGAAGAATTTACAGCAATAATATAAGGACCGAAATTGGGCACTAGAAAAGAAAGTTTTGGTTAAATCTCTTGTTTCCACAGAATCGCTCTTTGATAGAGACCTTTCTACAACACTTTATGACGACTGCTTCACTATACTGCTATCTTCACTATACCTGATGTTGTGTTTATAACAATTCCCTCCACATCCAAACCATTGAATGAGCTGTTGATAAGAAGAGCTTCTTCCACCAACAGAATATCTTGATAAAGAACTTGGTCGTAAACTAGAGTCACATCAGCGAGCACGCTACCGCGACTGAATCTCTCAACAACTACGTCAGTCACATTTGATATGTGTTGCAACGTTTCCATAATCTGAAATAATAATGATTTATTTAATGTCGTTTACACAGAGTGTGGTTGCCCATTTCAACCACGCCAGAGCCTCATGATACATGTTTTTTTACAACTACAGCCTATGGATTAGATTTCGCAAGGAAGAAAAAAACCAGACGGTCTGGAAAAACCCTGGAAGCGGTATAAAAGGAGAGAAATATACAGACTCCATTTACATTAGAGCACATGAATAAATCCCGTAAACTCTGAAGGCAGCGCATGCGTCGTTCATGACCCCCAGTATAAACCAGTACAGTTAATATTTACGAAGACGACGGTTCTTTAAATTTCTGTTCTAAAGATCACCAAAGCTAGACATAACTTCTAACATTTGAAATCAACAACGGCTAAAACATATAATTCGTACCTTTTCCTTGATTAATTGCGACAATGTTATATAAGCATTGCTTTCACCGTTTAATAACTCATTACTCCACGTTTGTGATGTCAAGTTAGCTTGAATGAAGATTGTTTGCTGGTGACCTTTGAGACAAAAGGGAAAATTATTTAGTCTCGCATTAGCATTGTAGATAACTCTACCTGTTTAAAACTGTTCTTTCAAGAGTTCCAGGAAGGGGTCACTCTTCATTGCTCCAGTGTTATTACAGGAGAAAACCTGAAACTTTATTATTACAGGGTAGCCACATTGGTTCCAAACTGTTTCCTCCAGAGAGCTAGTAAAACTGGTCCAGTGTACTAGAACTGGAACCTAAATTAAACTGACTATGTTCATGCTGGATAGCTCCATAAGTTCTGAACTGTTCTCCATAAAGGTCAAGTCGAAACAATCCACCTAAACTCGTCATACCTGTTTTCTCCTTGTAGGAGCGGACCGTGTCAGAGAGTGGTCGTGCATCAAACAGCACTCGCACATCATCCAAAGCAAAGTGAACATCACCAGACCCACCAGCGACAAGATTCACGTCTGGATAATCCTCAGCTCTCTGTGTGCATGCTGGGTTTGTCGCGAAGACACGTCCGTCTAAGTACAGTGTTATCACATCACGATTGAATGCCACTATAATATGAGACCAAACTTCGGTAGGGACAAAGAAATTGATATGACAAGTTTGCGTTGGAGAATTTAACTCAATTGACAAATGGTCTGTTGGTGTTGACGATGTCTGAGTGACTTTCACCAAATCCCCAAAAGCAAGGATATCTTGACTTGCGACGTCTTCGTATTTTAACCAAAATGATAAAGTGTAGAAAGGATAGCACCAGGTGTTTTTGCAATAGCTGTTAAATTGTTGAAAGATAATCTTCCCATCCCCTTTGAGTTCAATGGCCCCGTCCATCGCACCTTCTGTTTCGTTTATTGCGCCAGTTGTGCTCTCAGTTGTGCGCTCAGTGATGTTCAAGGAGTCTAAAGTCCAACGATGGTCGAAAATACCTAGAAAATAACGAGCATATAAAGTAGTTGGAATTGACGTATCTTGAGCCTGGTTTACACTATAAAAGTTTCTCTGACCACAGTAGAAATTTTGTATAGGTAAATTCTAACGCATGTATTCTAAAAGCTCACTCACACTCAAAGAGTGGAGGTTCTATCTAAGCTTCTCTTAAGTGTCAGTGCTGTTTTTGAATAGCTGGAGGATGAGTAGTCACATAGTAAGGCACGACACTAACCCTCCAGCTATTCAAAAACAGCATTGACACTCAAGGGAAGCTCAAATTGAATCTCCACTCTTTGAGTGTCAGCGAGCTTTTAGAATACAGTGGTATTCGAATAAAAGAAACATGTTAGCACAATAGGATTTCTATTTGAATTATGACCCGGATAACACTTCATAGAAAACGGAGTTCTGGCTTTTGAAAAGATAGTTCTGGCATTTGAAAACGGAGTTTTGGCATTTGAAAACAGAGTTTTGTTTTGAAAGATTTGTAAGAAATGTTTGAGGGAACTGTGTAAGTCCAACCTGGGACCTCTTGATCTCCAAATCTCTACAGACAGAGCTATCCTCACCAAAGCTTGTAAATCAGGCGGATATTTACCTTCATAGAAACAAAGTAACGTGGAATGGTTACATTTCTCTCCTGATCCACAAGGCGGTTTACATTCTACAAGATGACAAAATCCAAATACTGTAATAGGCAAGGATATAATCTATAAATGGGCATTTCAATAATCATTTCAGTAACAATTGCTTGCACAATATAATCACTCAATATTGGTCAGTTATCCAGTTGACGTAACAAATTCACTGTTGGCTGTTATGATGGCTGATTAATAAAGTAATAATTACCATTCTTGCATTTGTCTGGGGACAAGGTGACGTCGTCAATTGCAATATCGGATTGAAAGCTCTCACCACGAGTGACCTCGAAGACAATCTAAACAAAATAAGTAGAACAGGGAGAAACTTAACTTTCTGAACATCTTCCTCAGAGTTAATTAAGTTAGTTGTAAAAATCTCTGTGCTTTCTAGAGGAAGGTTAAAGTGTTACTACAGGGGAAACCTTACTTATATTAAGCTAACTTTATTTATATTGGATATACAAGCTCTATCAGTTCTATACTGTTTCTCCATAGAGGTTTAGTAAAGTTCATCCCTTATTGATACTACCTGTTACCACTGGAAGAAACGAAAAAATGTTGAGATAACAAAATACATACCTTAAAGACTGAGCCTATGTTAACATCTATTTCCATGTATTTCCAATAGTTGCCATGATTTCCAGTGATGTTTCTCACTGAGATATCAACTATACTGGAATTCATAGTGAGAAAGACACTCAAAGATCCAACCTCAACACCAAACATATGGTACCAGAATGAAAGACAATTATAAATACCAAGTAGATTTGGACTTTCAATGGAGGTCTGGTCCCCAGATGATGCCGGCAACGACGCCTCGGCATAAGCAAATGAACCTGGTAACAATGGTTAAATTAGAATCAGGAAAAGTTTAAATTAGAACCAGGAAAAGTTTAAATTAGAATTGGTGGTTTTTAGTAAGAATATATTATCATTACCACTATTATAAACAGCATCATCACTATCACGACCACCATTACAACTATCAACACAACCACATCACAATCACCATCATCACCATTACTACCATCAACACAATGACCACCATCACTACCATCAACACAATCTAGTACCATCTAATCACCATTAGCACCATCTATCACTAATCACCATTATCCCCATCACTACCATCAACACAATCTAGCACCATCTAATCACCATTAGCACCATCTATCATTAATCACCATTATCCCCATCACTACCATCAACACAATCTAGCACCATCTAATCACCATTAGCACCATCTATCACTAATCACCATTATCCCCATCACTAGCATCACTACCATAAACACAATGACCACCATCACTACCATCAATATAATCTAGCACCATCTAATCACCATTATCACCATCACTACAAGTACCACTACTACCATCATTATCACCATCACCATCACAATTGCTACGAATCTCAGTAAATCTTATGGTCTCACACCTACCATTATTTCTCAAGTAACTATGATCACCACAAGGCCCAGTTAGGTTGCTCGGAGTACATCCTTTAATGACATCCCACTTGTAACTAGACATGCCCGTAAAGTTCCATAAAAAACTATCCTCTTCGAAGCCTAGTATTTCTAAAATATAAACACAATAAATACACAATTTAGTTTGGTTTTGTCCCTGATTGGGTTGGTTGGGTTCAAACTATTCCATATTATTTCATCATGACTTACTTTTCTGATATTGTGTCTTGACATCCTGTTTGGTTAATTGTCTGTCAAAGAAGGTCAATTGGTTTAACCAAGTATATTCACTATTGGTCATATTTGAGTACGTTAGTTTCCGATCAACTACAGCTTGGACTTCTGCAAGTAATGTTCCGTTTTCATAGTACCGCAAATATGAATTGTCTTCCCACGTGATTGCCACGTGGGTGGGAAATGGTCCAGGATTTGGGATCATGGCTGTCCAATGTTGGTACGAAGTTTTCATGTTGATTTTCAAGGTGCGTTCGTTAAATGTTAAACCAAGTGACGCGATTTCGTTTTGAATCAGGCCATCTGGTAGAAAATCTGGATCTAGAAGGCAAATTCGTTATCTTAGTTGGAATTGTCTGTTGACTGTTGTTGTTATTGTCGTCGTTGTCGTTGTCGTTGTCGTTGTCGTTGTCGTTGTCGTTGTTGCTGCTGTTGTTATTGCTGCTGTTGTTACTGCTGTTGTTGTTGTTGCTGTTGCTGTTGCTGTTGTTGTTGTTGTTGTTGTTGTTACTGCTGTTGTTGTTGCCACTGCTACTGTTGTTGTTGTTGTTACTGCTGTTGTTATTGCTGTGGCTGTTGTTGTTGTTGTTGCCGCTGCTGTTGTTGTTGTTGACTGTTTTGTTGTTGCTGACCTTCCTACAATCTTAAAGTACCTTTCTTGTACGCTTGAATCTTCATCTCTGTTTTGATGATTGGTTGAGAAATGGTTTTCCAATACAAAGTATAGAGATCATTAGTTTTAGTGGTGAACACGCCGTTGAGATTGGACTCTAGACAGTTGGAGAACCACCACCCTCCTGGATGATCAGTTGTGCATACACCAGCTGTGATTGGATCATTATCCTGATCTACCGTTGAAAATTTCATTCCACGATGGAAAAACAATGAATCACCAGCTGTCCCTGTACATAGAAATAGAATATATAGTAATGAAGCATGACCTCTGGAAACAGGTAAATGTGTCATTCACTTTAATAGAGCCCTAGATAGAACAGTTTTGGACTGATAGAACTAACAGGTCATCATCTACCTATACTATCCAGGCTCGTGGTTGGTTGATTATAACAGTGAAAGACAATAAAACTATAGAAATCGTCTTTCTAAAGAACGAGTCACGAACAATGATCCTTTTTGTTTCTGAAAGTCAATCACAAAACATTATCATTTTAGGTAGGTATTTACCCGAACTATCCGGTATAAATAGGGTTAAACATGTGCAAAATACAAGACATACTGTGTTCACCTGAATAAGCTCCAAAATTAAGCACAAACTTTGAAGCCTCATCTCCAATAGTAAAGTCTTCGTATATTGCTTCATACACATTAAAATCTGCGGTATGCAGGAGAATCTTCAGCTTCTGTGGCGTCTTAGTTAGTTCGTGAATGTGCTTATTACCAAGCCAAAAGTTCGACTCCGATTGTCCGAATCCATCTGTGAAATCTGCCCATGTTTTTCTGGCGTAATCTAAGGGTGGTGTATTGTATATTCTTTTCTGAATCACCGTCCAAGGTCCGTCAGAACTGCTCAAATCACAATAGACTGTTAGCAGTTTGGGATTTCCTGTATGCAGCGAGTAATAACCACTTTCACTGCGGCCATATTTTGTCACTTGGGCACAACTCTTCACAGTGAGAGCTAAGAGACAAAGGAGGTTGTGAGTATGCGTTGATGATGGTGAAGATGTTTTTATGATGGTGATGGTTTTGGGGTGATGTGAAGTTGATGAGAATGATGGTAATTATGGTAAAGAATTAATGATGATGATAGAGGTGTGATGATGATAGTGGTGATTATGGTCATGAATTAATACTGATTATGGAAGTGTGATGCTGGTGATGGTGGTAGTGATGGTGGTGATTATGATGATGATGGTGGTGTCATGGCTGTGATTATGGTGATGAATTAATGATAGAGGTGTGATGCCGGTGATGGTGGTAGTGATGGTGATGATGATTATGGTGACAAATTAATGATGACGGTGGTGTGATGACGGTGATAATGGTGATGAATTAATAAGATAGAGGGTGTAATGGTGATAGTGATGGTGATGCTGATAATGATCCTATGATGATTTGAGAGAGTCTTTAAAAGAAACAGTGTCTTAATGGTTTATCAGAGATTTAATAGGTTTATACCTTTCTCACATAGAATTCTCCCGGTGTAAGAATCTGGTACGTCCCAAAAGCCGTTTGTACTAAGAACAACGAGGTATTCTCCACCGCCGGTTGGTTCACCAGGACTCCACTGATTATATTGCAACTTTGAGCCATCCTTCCACTGGAACTCTGTGCCGACTAATCTGAGACCTTTAAAGTTAAACAAGACTAAGGCTCGCTCAAACGAGGATGAGAGTTGATGAGAATTGCAAGATTACGGCAATACACAGTCAACTCTCATCAACTCTCATGCAACTCTTGTTCTCGTTTGACCGGGGCATGAGAGTTGTGAAAACTCTCATACAAACTCTCGCTTCTCAACTCTCATCAACTCTCATGCAACTCTTGTTCTCGTTTGACCGGGACATGAGAGTTGAGGAAACTCCCATGCAAACTCTCGCTTATCAACTCTCATCAACTCTCATGCAACTCTTGTTCTCGTTTGACCGGGACATGAGAGTTGTGAAAACTCTCATACAAACTCTCGCTTATCAACTCTCATCAACTCTCATGCAACTCTTGTTCTCGTTTGACCGGGACATGAGAGTTGAGGAAACTCCCATGCAAACTCTCGCTTATCAACTCTCATCAACTCTCATGCAACTCCTGTTCTCGTTTGACCGGGGTATGAGAGTTGTGAAAACTCCCATGCAAACTCTCGCTTCTCAACTCTCATCAACTCTCATGCAACTCTTGTTCTCGTTTGACCGGGACATGAGAGTTGAGAAAACTCTCATGCAAACTCTCGCTTATCAACTCTCATCAACTCTCATTCTCATTTGACCAGGGCTTGAGTTAATGTAACGAGTACACGCACTAACCTTTGTATACCCTAAAGCATTGGCCTATTTAAGCCATATTTATTTTTTCTCCAAATGGAGTCAAATCATTCACCACACGATTTGACCCCATTTGGAAAAAAACACACGTTTCACACTACACTGCTGAAGGACAACAACAAGTAACTATCTAAGCAATGTTTTCCAAACGTGGGAAAAACAGGAAACATTGTTTCTGAACCATGCTTATCAAAAACTTATCAAAGGTTGGGGAAAGCACGAAATATTGTTTGCTGTTTCCCGAAGCTTGGCACATATTTTTTTTCTAATTTCAATGTTTTGTTGTTGGCACAGGGCTTTACTTTTCACCAACAGATAAAGCCAGAGATGCTGCGGGCCATGAAGGTCAGAGAACTTGATGTAGACATGTTTTTTGTCTTGGCTTATTCAAGAAATGGTCGGTTCATTGTCGCCTGTGTATTGTTTTTTCGCGCGCTCAACTAACCTGATTACCCAGTCGTGATATTACACAATGGTTAAATGAAAACATAGCTATAGACCCTTTGCACATGACGTCACAGCGCCGGTGACGATGCATCTGGAGGACAAATTAGCAACCTATGCACAATATAACTTTGTAAAGAAAGCACATTTTATAAAACTTTACAATAATTTTGTATTAAAATGGTTAATTTTTGCGCTGTATGTTGTTGTTGTATCCAAACAGATATTGTTAGGGAGCATCTGGAGGACACTCTAAGGATTTGTGACGTCAGTGCAATTGGTCTATTGGTTGCTCTAGCGAAAATACAATACACACGTGACGATGAACTGACCACTGATTTCTTGCAAAAACCAAGACAAAAACATAGATAATGAAGTCTATTATGGCTGCATCGAGTTCCCTAACCTTATTCTATTGTCCATGTTCCGACATCTATCCAGGTACTTGAGATCAGCAGTCAACGTACCTGTGAACACTGAAGGAGTGGAAGAATCTGATGTAGCAACGCGCATGATTTTCCTGGCAAAAAGATGTTCTCCTCTACTGGAGATCTTTGGTAACTTGTAACCACGCTCCGTGCATTTACTAACAGCATCACTGTATACTTTATTTGTTGCACCAGCTGCAAAATAACAATCGCCTTTGTAACAATACTTTCCTGAAATGACAAACAAAAAATATATGATGCTTATGTTATTACTCTGACTGTATATCCACACCGGGCAAGCTTGAAAAATATGCCTGGCCACGGTGGGAATCGAACCTACGACCTTTGAAATACTAGCCCAATGCTCTGCCAACTGAACTACGCGGTCAGGTCGGTTCGAGCATGTGGGCAACCATAGTTAATAGAGGAGATGGTTTGGAAACTCGTTAGCATTACAATTAAATCACAATAAACCTCATTATCGTTGTTCAGGTTTATGCAAAAATGTGGTCTTTCATCGTCACGTGCGTATTGTATTTTTCTCAAGTCAACCAACAGGAATGTTCAAAATGTCCTATTGTTAAAGCCATGGATGGGCAATTGGACAAAACCGTTGCTATTGGCTGGTTGAGCAAAAATACAATACGCACGTGACGATGAAAGACCACATTTTTGCATAAACCAGAACAAAAACATAGATAGTGAGGTTTATTGTAATGCTAATGAGTTTCCAAACCATCTCCTCTATTAACTATGGGCCAACTGAGCTACGTAGTCAGGTCGGTTCGAGTATGTGATATTTCGGAACTGATTCTAGTTCCTTCGATATCAATTCAATCTAGTAATCATGACAGGGCATTTTTTAAGAAATTACAACTACTGGAACTAAGTCTCAATGAGGGTCCTTTTCCCCACACTGACGGGTACATAAAAATACGACTACAAAATAATAATTCATGAAGAAAACACAAAGAAAAATCATAAGCTGTCGTATCTGTATATGTGATATAGATTCATGTTGAATTACATAAACTTTAACTTTGATTTTCTCGGCTTAGACAACGTTTATTTTTAAAATTACTTCCTCAATGAACTCATAAGATGAGTCGTTTTTTAAGTCATTTACAACATTCGCGTCCGTGTTGTATCGGATATACAAACTCTCGCCTTCGGCTCGAGTTTGTATATCCGATACAACACGGCCGCTCATGTTGTAAATAGTACTTATATAATCATACTAATTAGGATGAACAATTATATGATGCTACATGCTTTATCAGATATAAAGTCACTCCACGTGACATATTATGGCTGACATGACTTAATTGCCACAAGGTTTATGAATTATTAATTAATGAGTATTTTAGTTACTTATAGAACTCAAAAGAGAAAAGTTGTGCAGAGCATTGCATTGCAATTATTCTAATTGTATATATTTGATGAAGGAGAAATTATTCAAATTAATGGCGGAAAAAGGAGGGTGACACTGCCCATGCAGAGCAATCATGAGTGTTGGTATCTCTACAAATACAAATTTTGTTTGCGAACCTCTCATACAAACAAAGAATTTCGGCTCCTCACAGTCCACCATTCCCCATTCTCTATTCGCTTTAAGGACAACGCATTTATCTGCAGGCAGTGGTTGAGTTAACAAGTTGGTAGTAACAGGTACACCTCCTGTCCATGTCGCTGTATCTCCCATTCCCAGGCCTGGCAACAGAAATATGAAGCAAAGTTTGTTTTGCTTGTCACTTGATGGAAACTAAACTAGCACTATATATATTGTTAGTTTTAAACTGTTCTTCCTAGAGGTCCAAAAGGGTTATCTCTCGTTTACCTAGTGTTACTACAGGAGGAAACCTAAATTAAACTAACTTTATTTCCACTGGATAGCTTTATCTGTTCTTAACTGTTCTTCCTAGAAGTCTGGTAAAGATCATCTCTTATTGATCCAGTGTTACTACAGGAGGAAACCTAAACTAAGCTAACTTTATTAATACTGGATTAGATCTAGATACTATCAGTTCGGAACTGTCTTTCCTAGAGGTCCAATAAGGATCATCTATTATTGATCCAGTGTTACTACAGGAGGAAACTGCAGTACTAGAAGAAAACTTGCGGTGTTTAGTGGAGTCAAACTGGAAGCAATCGCCTTACCGTTCAACTGAATGACTTCACTACCTGCAAACAGGCGCCAGGAACCAAGCCCGCGAACGCCTGCTTTGCAGGCTATGACTTCACAATCGGAATCATAGCTCATTAGTTATTCACAAACTTGACAAGTTGACACATACATACCCACATATATTTCATCATGACCATGATTGGAAACGGAAAGATCTGCAAGAATGTCATTTCCTGCTGTGCTCTTTATGAACACAAGATCAGCACTGAAATTACGGCAATTGTCAAGAGCCTTAAGCCACGATTTCGTCTGTCGCGTCCAGTAGTAACAATACTTGCTGTCACATTCTACAACTAAAAACAACAGTAGTGTATTTCATTTATAAACTAATTGATAAACAAAGTATAAATTATTAATAAACGAAGGGGTATAAATTCAAATTTAAATGCATCAGGTAATAACTGCTTTTGTTGCTACGTGACGACTTTCATTGAAGATTACACAAACTTAATCCATCCTCCCCCCCAGCAATTTGATATCCGTGTTTGACAAATCCGTCGAAAATTAAAGTGAGGGACTTTCCGATTCTACACCAAAGGTTGGTTTAAACTATGAAAGCTTCTATGATTACAGTAGAACTTTTGCATACGTAAATTTTAAGTTTTGAAGGATTTGTAAGAAATGTGCGAGGCAACTAATTGTTTAACAATTCTCTCAAACATTTCTTACAAATCCTTCACAGCTAAGAATTTACCTACGCAGAATTCCTACTGTGATCACAGAAACTTTGATAGTGTAAAACAGTGTTAATCTTACTTGATTTTCGCCGGAGTTTTATTTCTCCACCGGACAGAGTCCATCCGCCCCACCGCATTCTGAACTCAGGGTCACTCGGTTCATACGTCCCAGTCAAATACGCTTTAGCACAAGATCTGTGCCACCAGCCGCCGTTTGAAATATCCGCACAATTTCCACCATGCTCATCATTGTCTCGATCTTTGGTAGTGAAAAACTTTCCATTCGACTCACTCATCGAATCACTGCGATCTGAGCTCTCATATTCGTCGATGGTAAGCTTATATTTGTTATCTTCGCTATCCACTTTGAAATTTTTATACAAGACCATCGAGTTATCGCCTGTATCGGATTCAATATCAAACAACGCCTCTTGTTTTGTTGCTGTTAGTCTGTGAATCAACTCGTTTCCAAGCCAGAAATTTTGATCTAGCGAACCAAAACCATTTTTGTATTCTTCCCAAGTACGGTTGAAATATTCAGTGCCGTCCACTCGTCTCATGAGTACGGTCCAGCCACCACCTACAGTGTCTTGATCACAATACACCTGGAAATAATAACCATGTATAAGTAATAGATAAAGCATAAGTGGCCGTGTTGTATCAGGTATACAAACTCGGGCTGAAGACGAGAGGTTGTATGTCTGATACAACACGGATGCGAATGCTTTATATAGCTTGTGAAACGTCTCGATGAGAACTTCGTATTCTTCAACAATTTAAAATAAATGAATGATATTTGGTGAGAATTCAACTTAAAGTTTATGTGAATCAGCGTGATTCTGTATCAGATATACAAACTCCTTCACGCTCATGATTTCTTTTGTGTTTTCTTCAGGAATTATTAATGACTTTCACAATATAATAATTATATTTATCCAGGATACCCACATCACATACGTGTTTTTCAGTGGGCTAAATATCGCTAACACAAATACCTGAAAAGGACCCAAACTATCTGGATCAATGAAATATACACCACTACGGGTCGTTCCGGATAGCAGCAACTCTAGACAATCTTTGGGCTTCACATCATCAGGAGCTAGAACTAAAATGAGACGATGTTAGTTAGTTGTTAGAGCAATAGTGTTGGACAACAACAGATTTGTTAAAATATTGGTATATTAGGCTGTGTTCTCTCTGCTTGCTGTTAGGTTGTTAACAACTTGTTATAGTCTTACATAGACTTGCCACAAGTCGACCATGGGGGAGGGAGGACACGGGGAAGGGAGCGCGCGACCCGAGCGAAGTGAAGCGCGCCATAGAAGGGTCTGGAAATGACTTTGGAGAGTTTAAGTCTTACACAGCTACACTGGCTTGCTGCAAGATTACTTCAACGAAGCATACTATCTCACATATCATAAACATATTATATTGGAAAACACTGCGTTTGTTCATTTAGGAAAGTCTTCAGTCTGTAAGCCCAGATCTTTATCCATTGCAAGATCCGGACTTACGGATCAAAAGCATGACCAAATGAACATACACCGTGATTTCTAGAAAACAAAACAATTAAATGTAAGGATTGTTCACCTTTTTCGCATGGAAATGATTTAAATTTATCACAATCGCCATCTTTCCATTCTCCACTACTATCTAGTCTTGTGCAAAACTTTTCAGGTTGATTTGGTTCGCCGTTTTTCCAAAGATTAAAGTCAAGGGGCGTCCCATCAACCCACGAGAATGCAGAAGAATCACTGAAGCGTTTTAAACCTACAAGATACAAAAGATAGATAGATATTTTATCAAACGCTATTTTGCAGCCACGCTGGCTGAATTACGTAGATTTTTACAATAACATATAACTTTAAATATTAGACATTTTAACAACGAGATAAGTCTCCTCATTTATTACAGTATAGCATGGAAGTGTTCCTAAAGCGGTTAGTGTTAGTCGTTGGAAGATCATAGAGGTGTTTGTGTCTTGAGTTATATTTCGCTTGGTGTTTTGGCGGCAGCGATACATGGAGTTTATAGTCACTGACAGTTGATATTTTACAGAAAAGCTATTCACCCAATGTTTGTCTTCGGATCGATAGGGAGTTTAGTCCAGATTGTTGCTTTCTCAGAGGAGTTCGAAGGCAGATACGGAAGCTGTCCCTTACTAACGCCTGTATTCTAAAAGCTCACTCACACTCAATGAGTGGAGGTTCAATCTGAGCTTCTCTTGAGCGTCAATGCTGCTTTTGAATAGCTGGAGGGTGAGTAGTCACATAGTAAGGTATGACATTAACCCTCCAGCTATTCAAAAACAGCACTGACGCTCAAGAGAAGCTCAGATTGAACCTCCACTCATTGAGTGTGAGTGAGCTTTTAGAATACGGGCGTAAGGGTTTCGTAGATGGAAATCTCAAGTGTGAATTTTATAAATTTATTTAGACCTAACCAGGAGCTGTTGTGAAAAATGCAACTATATATAGACCCTCTGGCAGGAATCGAACCTGCGGCCCTGCGACTCGAGTGCAGTGCTCGAACCAACTGAGCTACAGAGTCCAGTTGTCGAGCTCGAACCAACTGAGCTACAGAGTCCAGTTGTCGAGCTCGAACCAACTGAGCTACAGAGTCCAGTTGTCGAGCTCGAACCAACTGAGCTACAGAGTCCAGTTGTCAAGCTCTAACCAACTGAGCTACAGAGTCCAGTTGTCAAGCTCTAACCAACTGAGCTACAGAGTCCAGTTGTCGAGCT